TTTTATTCATTTGCCTCAAATTAATTGCTTTGTACAATGGCCGTTGCAGCTTTTTGGAGCGCAAAACAGCAGACGGCAGCGTTGTTGCTTCTTGCAAAACGTTCAAGTTAAAGAAGAAGACGGATGCACAGCCGCAACAGCAACAACAACTAAGATAATTAAGTATACATCAACAACAACAACAATTACAGCCATGTACTTAGATTGCAAATTTATTTTTTGGTTCAACGTTCTGCTTGGCCCAAACAATTTTCATGCTGCACGCTTCGTTGCACATCATTGCATTAATTTGTACGTTAAAAGTTAAAAATTGAAGAAAGAAATATTTCAACATATGTACATTTGAAGCATTTGTTAATGTATTTTCTTGTCTATGTATGTTTGTCTGTTTGCCTGACTGCAAAACACGAATTGCCGCCTTTGTTGCTATTATAATTAAGTTCATGGCGTGCTGCCTTATGCCTTATACCTTATGCCGTTTTATGTACGAATTGCTGTAAGCACTTTCAAAAAGCCCATAAAAATAGCAACGCAATTGTCTGACAAACTAAATCAGCGCAAGTGCGTGGAGAAATTTTCACTTCACATTAGCTCCGGCTGTTGTAATAGACCCATTCAAAACATGAAAACAACTAAAACCAAAAACAAAATCAACATAATCTCAAACATTGACGGCTTCGCTGTTGTCAAACGCATTCAAATGAGCAGATTTTAGAATTGTTAAACCCGGTAAGCAGCAGCAGTAGCAGAGGCCAGACGAGTTTTCACTTTTGTTCATGCAAAAGAGACCTATTCGCTATCGCTTTTCATATATATATAACTTTTTTTAGTTTTACAGTTAATTTATGCCGGCAACGAATTTTCACTCTCGCTATTTTTCCGCATTTTAGACTCTGTCTGGGAAAGTGGGCAAGCACAACGATGGCGCATCCGCCAAAAAAAAAAGAAATAAGAAACGACACAGAAATGAAAAGTGCGCTTTTAAAAATAGCTAAAGCCAGTCAAGAGTCTTCCAAGAGTCTGAGCCCGAAAATTGTGGACCCCGTCAGTCGCGACGGTGATGGCGATTGCAGCTTGTGGGTTAGATTAGAAAGTGGTTGCCATCGCTTCATCGCTCCATCGCTTCATAGCGCCGATGCTCCATTGCTACATCAACGGCTGCAGATTCTTTTGCAAAAAAAAACTAAGGCTATGCCGGCGTGCAATACACACACACACACACACACATTAATTGGCATTTTTGCATGCGTTGGTAGCTAGCTGGAACCGGCTGCAGGTACTCGCAATAGCTGGTCACCGCTGGCCACCAATGAAAGAGAAAATTGGCCCCAAATCAAGTTCACTATCATTGGCCGTCGGCGTCGCAGCACTTTTTGTGCAAACTAATATTTTAAAATTGTTGATTATGATGACTTTTCATTTCGTTCGCCGAGATCTGGATTGTGCATCAGCATCAGCAACAGCAACAGCATCAGCGTTAGCATCAGTCAAATTGCACTTGCAAGTGTTATTTTTCTACAGTTTTTTTGTTATCTCTTTCTTTGTTTCATTTAATTTGACGGTTGAATGCCGACGCCGACACCGCAGGCCGAGTGTCCATTAGCCATGGCTGAAGTGCAGCTGCTTGGACTGCACATTAAGCATACGCAGCTTGGGCCCAGCCCCCAACTTTAGCTCATATGTCTATTATTTAACATCTCTCTCTCTCTTTCTCTATGTTGCTCTCTTTCTTTGTGTGTGGAAATGGAAATGGCTAGGTAATATTTCACGGCACTTACATATTTGGCCAGGCTTTTTGCAACACTCGCCGAAACCTATTTATCATATTGCACATCGGTGGTCCGCCCAGAGAGCTTCCATTCAGGAAGCAACTGCTCTTGGCCACCTGGCTTGACCTGCTCGCCTCAATGTCAGCCGACGTCGCTCATCCGCAAATGACTTTGGAATGCGTATATGTTTGCTTTCGTTTTTTTTTTTTTTTTGGTTTATGGGCATTCATCCAACTTCTAGGGTAAGTTTTAAGTGCCAACTTACTGAAGCGTTCGAGCTGTGCATGGCAAATTTGTATACGCATATCTAAGCCTAAGGTTAGCTGATTATATGGCCCCATTGTGCACTGACGCAAACAAATTGCCCGATAAGCATCCAAACCCAAGCCGTTGGTAAGTGGGTGTCAGCCTAGTGTAAGATATGTAAAGCGTTCTAAATGCTGTGCATAGTAATTAGTGTTCTCCACATAGCAACTAACAGTAGTATGCTCTATAAAATTAGTCCACTGTTCATGTCACGCTGTTAACTTCACATTAGCATATTCATAAGCAACATTTGCGAACTAACAGAAGACAGCAAAAATCTTGAATTACAATTTACAACTTTCTAAGATATGTTTTACATTTATACCAATGGTTGTGGGGTCTACATATAATATAATTACATATAATATAATATAATGAGTATACGTTGTTGATGGCATATTAATATTAACATTAATGGGTAATATTTGTGAGCTACGAGAAACATTTGTCTGAGCAGGAGCTTGGTTTAGGAATTACAAAGGGAAAGCGAAAGGAAAGGAAAAAGAGGAGAAATATTAAAGTTGTTTTCTAAACTAAAACACATAGTTAAGTGAGTTCTATATACCACAAGCCAATAATATATTTTGAAGTTAATTTTCTGAAGTTCTTTCACTTACTAAAAATTAAATCTGAAAGTCAAATAGCCATATTATCTCGTCAGTCATAATTAGGCGACCATAAAATATTAAAAAAAAAACACCCTATCCTGCCAGCTATATTCTAGTTTCATATGCGCACTTGAAAAACCTTGGGCAAAGTATATTCTCATTCTTAGTTACCAAATTGTTTTGGCCTTTGTAAATCATTTAAAAGGCAAATTTGTAAAATAACAGCAGCATTAACTGCCAGCTGAAGACCTTGGATTATGAATTACAGCTGAGGATTTTCTAAGAAAAGTTAGTTTTAATTCAAGTAACATTGAGAGCTTCCTCAATTACCATGCTTTTAATACGGTTCACATGGTAAGCTAAAGCATAAGTCCGCTCTTATTTACGGGGCCCCAAGTCTCAAACGATTCTTATATCTATTCATGAGTGGACCCTATCGAAAGCTTTAACTATTTAGCCATGCTCTGTGTCTAGTTCACATAACAAATAACATGATCCGGTAACCTTCGCAGCACAAATCGGACCGTTTTCTTCTCTTCGTTATTCAGATCATCGGGCATATTATTATAGCACATATTTGGGACCGGCTATAAATTTCCGCTGGAAAGCAAAATAGAAACTATATAATTAGTAATGGCTCTAGGTACGCCCGGAGGCGTTCCGTTTTCTAAGGCCACAGTCGTACATGACAGCAGCAGCGAAATAAATGGGAGAGAAAAAAAGCTTCAATGTATCCATCCCAAAAAGCAGAGTCAGCGCAAATGAAACTGAAAACTCTCACACGCTGAACGCGGCCTGAAGATGACAGATGACAATGATATATGGGATTCTTGAAATTGAAACCGAGTTGAGAGGAAACCAATATGTTTGTTTGTACAGCGTATGCAAACGTGGAGTGCGCAGTGGAGAAGAGCCAGCTGATGGCCGCCGTTAAGAAAACAACTGCAATTGACTTTCGCGTCGTGTGACACTTGAAGAGCGCTGGTAATGATGATTGAACGCGGCCCAAGGAACCGGGAAGCAAAGACCCGATGGAACATAAACTGGCTAGAACCACTTTCTACCATGAACGCAGCAATTCGTCTTTCGTTGGGGCAAAGTAAAAGTCAATTTCTTCACCGGCTGTCGCATTATATATAAACTTTTTTTTTGGACCCGAGACGACGACGTTTTAATTTGGTTTTTGGTTTGGTTTTTTCTTTTCTTATTTCTTTTTTGCTTAATTACGGCATGAAAATCGTAAACCGTTTTATGTTTTAAGGGCAGCGGAACAAGAAAAAAGTGTTTGCGACCTTTTGGCAGTCGTTGGGCAAATTTGTTTCTGTCGCTTCTGTGTGTTCATTTCTTTGTTTGTTTGTTTTGCTTTTATGATGAAAAGGAAATGGGAAATTATTACGAAAATTATGTTGCGCTGCTTGGGAAATTGGGCCATGCTAAGCAAGAAGTAAACAAAAAGTAAACAAAAGACTTAAGACACAAACTTGAAGAAACATCAGGCAAAGGCGATGGCAGCTGCGCCCGCATCCCATTCAAACAACAAATTAATTATAACATGCAGCCGCAGCCCCGCTTGTCTGCCGGCCAGGCGCATTAATTATGCCAAAGACAAACAAAGTTGTCGGCGCGGGAGTCGAGGCTCCAAGCACAGTGGAACTAGGTTACACACGAAACCATCAACAACTCCATTTCAAGCTGCTGCGAAAGTCGGCCAAGAATTAAGGCTGCTCCATAAAATTCAATAATACATCAAATATGAAAGAATGTGCTATGAGGCGCATGTACAAGCTATGCTAAAAGATGAATGTGTTTCTTAATAAGATCTATATGATTTTGTAGTAGCGCAATGTGATGTAGTAATTCTATGACTTTGTTGCTGTGTGTATAACATGACACACTCTGGCAATTTATTAAATTAAAATAGGTACCCAACAATGCAGTTTTTAGCACAAGGGCAATATGTTTTTAATAGTGACCTCATTTAACTACACAAATAATATATTATTAATATATATATAGATATATTTAGATATATTATATGTTATATATTATATTATACTCTGTTCTCCTATAGAAAATAATATGTCACACACACACACAAAGATCCGTATTATTTATTAATAAAATTAATAACTATATATTTAAGCTATTTCAGTATATTTAAGGTCCTTCCTCTTCTCCTTCTCTTTGTCCTCTAATATAAATTTGCAAATTCTGTTTAGTTGATACCACTGTTCGACCTGGCAATAATTTAGTGACGCAGTGGCTGCCGAAACCGCATTGTTAATGATTTGCATAAAATTGCGATGCGATAAAGTAATCAACCCAAATTCAGTGCAAAGATTCGCACGGTTAGCTGTCGCAGCATCCGCTTGACGCGACGCCAGCGACGCAGCCAACGCAGCCGCCAACGTCGCAGCGACAGCCCCAGATTCAAGCGTCGACAGAAGAGCTCCAGCAAGAGCATTAGAGCTGAACAGAATTGCATAATCATGAGCTACTCATTTTGATGCTAAATATATCATTTGACCCACTGACCTGCTGTGACAAAGCCCACGCCGAGGGCAATGAATGCGCCTTGGAGCATGCGTAGGTTCAGAGCGCTGATCATCTCATTGTCCTGGGTATGCTGTGGCTGTGTCTTTGCCTCATTGCTCTTGATGTTGGCGTTCGCATTGGCATTAGCATTCTCGACGGCAGCCAGCTCCTTAGATTGTAGCGCCTGATCCTTGGTCATTTGCCGTGCTTGCGCCTCGTATTCTCCGGTCGTCATCTTCTCCAATATGCCGCCTTCGAACAGATGCATCAAACTAAAAGAAGTGAAATTCAAGCTAACACAATTGAATACATATCAATTAAGTAGCTGCCACCTACACATCGTTTAGACTATCCAAGAAGGGGCAGCCAATCTGCACAGCCACCGCGGAGTAGCGCGTATAGAGCTTCTGGCTGAGCTGAAAGTTCTTGGCTCCGTATTGCTGTATATTAAAGTAGAGTGTTTCACGCCCGCCAAGCACCGCCTTGTTCTCCCTGCCATCGGCAATCAGCTTGATGCCCGCCTCCACGGAATCAATGAGAAAGCCCTGATGATCATTCGGCTGCTGTTGACGCATCTCTGCATACAATTGCCTAAACAGTTCTGTGCCGTTCTCGAGCATCTCCAGCGAACTGCTCTCCTTTTCCACATACAATCGATAGCCATCCCGTAGCATGGCTGCCTGCAGGCGCTGCAATGTATTGATGGGCGCCTCATGAGCCGGACGCGCAAACTGCGAGGTGAGCTGCGCCGAATATACATCAGCCAACACATAGGTGGCAGCTACCCAATAGACTATGGTCAGGAACTTGGTGCGATAGTCATGGTAGAGCTCATGGCAAGCTGAAACGAAAGGGAAATTTTTAGCCAAAGACATGGCAGCCACAAGAATCTTACATTGCTTGAGGAACAGACGCAGCGTGAACCAAATGCAGCGCTGAAAAAGCTGTGGTGGCATCTCTGGCGTAGTCTGCGCATGAATGTGCCGAATGTGTCTGACCTTGAGCACGCAGGGCGTTATTTCCTTGATGTAGGCCATATATACGCGAAAATCACCGAGCCGCTCCACGTCCATGGCGATCGGATGCCGGCGCCATTTGTAGGGCATGATAATAATGCCATAGAATATCGGGCCCGAGAACACAATGGTCAGAATGAGATATGGCCATATGTCGAGCTTAAAGGGACGCATTATGGCCAACGCCTCGTTGAGGCGACGCGGCGCGTGTGTGGCAAAGGCGCCCGAATCGGCGAGCGTAAAGAATGAGAACTCAATCGCCTTGCGACGCTCCCAACTGAGACCCACATCACCCAGAAAGAAGTCCGCCAGCTGTAACGAAAGACCAAATGTCAATTTGTCAGCGACAAAGCGACGAGAGGCTACAGCGTTTATATCGCATATTCATTTCCTACTGCCTGTCTACGTACACCACTCTGAAGCATGCCGATGCCACCGGTGAAGCTGTCGTTGGCCTCGCCATTGTCGTCGGTGCCTCGCAGTGATCCCTGCGTCCTGCCTGGCGCTTCAATGTATTCGAATGTAAAGTTCATATGCTGCCGCAATAGCACAAGCAATTGATGATCTCGACCTCCCGTCACATTCGCCTTTTTATAGCCCGCATTCTCGAACTCCTCCTCGGTGCCGTTGCCAATGTTGTTGCTGTCATTGTTGTAGCTCACCCAAAACCAAGGCGGCGACTGTAAGAGTAAAATTTCTACTCAGCGAAAGATCTGCTATAGATATTATATCTACCATCGCATTAAGTTTCTCAAAAAAAAGTTAAATGTCTTAAGTGTGGGAAAAAGCAAATTCTCTACTAGAAGGCATAAAAACTCTGAGCTAATTAAATGTCTTTTCTATTTTCTGATTATAATACGTTATATGTATGGTACTTCATATAAGTATATCTCTTAGGACAAGACTTTTAATAAAAAAGAAAAACACTTGAGATTGGAGTTTCAGCTGCGTAGAGTATTTAGAATATATTCTTGCACAACCTTATTTTTTCCTATTTCAAAGAATCTGTATCACAATTTTCAACCAGATAATACACTAATGATGCCGCATCCGACCTGGAACCTCCTGTGATTTTTTCTTCTTATCGAAACTGAGACAGCTCATGAAAGGAGATAAAGGAAAAGATGAATGTGATCATGATAGTATTTAGATTCCAAATTATATATGCAAATACGATTAGATTTTAAATGCTGTTTCCCATATCTATTTGTCAGCGCTTCCTTATTTTAATAAATTCAATCAATCAATTTGATAACGAATTTATCCTTAAGTCCAAGCCGGGTTATAATGAATACATGATACTCGTAAACGGTTCCAAAAGAGTGAAATAATTTTTTGTCAAGGATGGTCAAAGGATGCACAGCAAGAAGGACCTTAAACAAAACCAATATACTCTTTTCACTTTGTAAACGCGTGTACAAATAGCAAAAACAACTTAAAATAATCTAAAAATGTTTAGTTAAACCTCCAATATTTTCGATAATTTCATTAAGCTTGTGATTATTAGATTATAAATTAATTTTAGCGACTCACATGAAAGACGGGCACATGAAAGAGGCGACCTTGAAAATTGGCATAGACTGTTGCAGCGCTGGGCAAGAGTGGGGTCTTCTGTAGGCCCAGATTTTCGCCATCGTACCAGTTGACCAAGCGCAGTTGGCTTTTGGCCGTGGGCATTGCCTGATTGTAATAGATGCGAAATGCTTTGGGACGCGGCCGTGTGATGACCACAGCTCGCATCGGCTGCTCAAAGCTGACGCGCGTCGCATTCGGCGGCTTGCTGGCGCCCCAATAGAAGATGTACAGACTGAGCCGATGGGCCAGTCGACGTTCCTGTATGCGCGCCGATAGCTCATCCGGTTCGTGGAATATCAAATTGACGCACTCGATGGCGCCCAGCAGATTCGCCTCGATATAGTCAAAGAACAGCTCGGTGTCATAAAAGATGACGGACTTGTAGTAGAGCTTATGCACTCGCTGTATAAAGTCATCCACTTGGATGGTGTCGTTATTCGCACAATCCACACTTAGCAAACGTGAGCGGGGCATGGCCAATATGGCCAGCTGTCTGGGCTGCAGGCCATGGATGATCTGCGAGAGCGCTGCATTGCAATTGAATTAAATTGAATTGATAAATTAATTGGCCTGGCAAGTGGCGCCGCCTCATTACCTACTGCCACAACGGACTCGTTGCACGGTCTATAGCTGAGCATTGGCCAGGCCAGCGGCCAATGGATCAGACCCAGGCCGAACAACAGGCTGAACTGCATGTCGATACTTGAATTGGCCAAAACTCCTGCGCCACGCCCTTATATAGTGCAATTTATGATAGGATTTTGATGCGCAATTATGGCATCAATGCTTAAATATCACATGTCAATACAGCCGAGGCAGACAGTCAGACAGACAGACGGACAATTGAAAAGAGCTGACTATCGATTTTCATAATCAACATTGCTGCCTTCACCTGAACATCACTCTCACAATGGCCCACAGCGCAGAGTTTGCCAGTTATTTTTCTTTTTCTTTTTCATTTTTTAATTGTCAGAAGTTTGTCATTGCCGTTTTCGTTGTCTCTTTCTCTCTCACTCTTGCTCTATGTGTGTGTGGAACGATAGATCTGTCAATCGATCCGTGATCGTTGCCAGTTGCTGCTGCTGCTGCTGCTGCTGCTATTGTTGTTGTTGTCGTCAATCTTCTAATGCTATTGACATTAATTCCGTGTTGTGCGCATTTTTCTTTTTACCCATTTGCTGCTGCGGCTGCTCCCGCTTTCAGCTCACATGTCAACGCTCCACTTTAATGCGCCAGTCAATGATTTATCGCAATCAGTAACAGCAGCAGCAGCAACAGAAGCAGCAGAGATTACAAATGTGGTTGTATACTTAACTAGTTTGTGGGCTGCTGCGAGCTGCAGCCTGATTCTATTACAAACTAAGGACACAGACGTTCAACATCTAGAGTTATATATATATATATATATATATAGGCATATGATTAGTTGAGCGAACAAGAAACCGGAGTTGAGCCCTTGATCTAGACATTGACTACATATTAATAACATACTTAACATAATTAGTCTGACTTATGGGAGTTAGTCAGACATAAGGAAAGCTTCAACTCTTCTTATAGATTAGATATATATTTTAGTGATAGCTACAAGGCCACAGCTGTCTCTCACCCAATTCCTGAACTTGTTTTGCAAATACGACCAAATCATGTTTGCATTTATATTTCTAATATATATTTCATATCTCACCCGAAAGGCAATCAATGAATGTCGCTTTAAGCCGTTTTGTTTGACCAAATTGGTTTCTGATGCCAATTTTGGCGATAGGCTCCCACAGCGCCAACGAAGCGAAAGAGAAAAGCCAAAAAAAAAGATGATGACCCGATTATGATATGAGAGAGTATATAACTGCCATGAATATATATATATATATATATATATAAATATATGTCTATATATATGTATACAATATATTTGTAATTTATGCCTTGAGGGCAGAACGAATAGAATGTGGTGAGGGCGGTCTAAAGAAATGCTCTGAAACGGAAACTAAGGCCTTGCCTGACCTTTGATCAGAGCTAACATACAGAAACACACACACACGCAGACACCAACAGATAGACAGATATAGGTATTATAGAAATCTGCAATGTTCAAGTCTGTAGCTATTTATAAAGCCGGCTAACAAAAACAAAAACAAAAAAAAAGAAGCGAAAAAGGACGTAAAACAAATAAACCCCGCGCTCTGCGTTCGACAACTTGTTAAACTTCAAACTGTCTGCAAACGCGACATTGTCTGATAAACGACAACAGCAACAGCAACAGCCAAAAGAAGAAGAAGAAGAGCAACGTCCATGCTGAGTGGGCAACTGTCTGGGCGATTGCATCTGCCCGACGCGGCCTCTGTGACTGTGACTCTCAGTCTCAGTCGCAGTCGCAGTTGCAGTCTGAGTCTGAGTCCAAGTCTGAGTCTGACTCTGGGCAAGAGCTGAGCCAGGATGCAACCGCACGCCAACACTTTTTGTTTCAACGCGCACGATAGTGAAATGTGGCCCGGTTCGCTCGATGGACCGGCCCTACGATCGATGTCGATGCCTGTTGCCTGTTGCCTGTTGCCCGCTGCAGCAGCGACAGGCTAAGTGGATTGGTAGATGCTGCCATGGTAGATGGGGGCCGGCACGTTTAAATGCACTTTATTTGTTTTGCAGCTACGTGAGCCATGAGCCATGAGCCATGAGCCGTGAGCCGTGAGCCGTCAGCCGCCCTCTCATCACCATAACGAGCTGTCAATTGCCGCAGCTCGAATGTAAATCACTTAGTAAAGCCTCCACTCGACTCAGAACCAAATTGTATTTATACACATGCTATTGGTAAATCTATGAAAACCGTTAGAGTCACAAAAGCTAGGGCTCAAAAAGGCTTTTGATAATTAATACATTTGTAGCCAAATGGCATAAATGGCCAGAATTCTTTAAACAAAGGAGTTCTCTCCTCTAATATATTTTGTGAGGAAAGTCTTATAGTATCCGAAATTCGAAATATATAAAATTTGTGTCTTCGGCACAGATTTGATGTTTGCATTTGCTGTGCTCAAATTCTCATTTTTTATCATTATATATGTGCCAGCCCAGTCAAATATGTCATCTTTAACTGTATTGAACCATACTATATATATAAACTATTTTCAAAACTTGATGCACTTTAATAGGGTTTAATTGCCGTAAAATCATTCATTATAAAATATACAAACTGAAGTTGAATAGAAATACATCGGATAACTAATTCTCGTCTTACTTAAAATAAACCAAATATGAAGTCCCACAGGCAGCAGTCTGAATCGCTGTCGTCGTTCAGGCTGTCAAGCATTTTCTTTAACTTCCTGAGTTGGTTCTCATCGCTGAAGATGGCTTTGAAGACGCGTTGGGTGAATGAATCGGAGACACCCAGTCTCCCTAATAGTTTTAACACCCGTTTCTGAAAGGCGTTGTACATTGCAGCACGCTGCTCCTTATCGACGACGATAGCCTCTTGATTGTGGCTCGAGGCTTCCGAGCTCTGTTGCTGTTGAAGTGTCTCGTGGTAGGCGAGGTACTCGTTGTAGATCATAATCTTTTCGTCTAGATGCGAAATGGGCAAAGCCACTGCCAATTTCAGGCGTTCATATTGCTGCACAAATTCCTTGTTTTCAGTTTGACTTTCCAATTGTTCATATTGCTTGAGCACGGTGTTGATCCTGGTCGTAATTATGTTGTCCAGTTGCAAAAGCTGCTGCATATGATCTCCCATTTCTCCTTGTATGCACTGCAGCAGCATTGGCATCAGCAGCAACGCTAGCGATAGCTCCCATACTTTGATCCCAGTTGACATGACGACGAACTTCTAACTTCCAACTGTTGGCAGACGATGTGCCACAGCTGCCTTATAAAGCGTTCACAATTCCCCGATAAGCCTGAGTTATGAACCGACATTTATTGAGTTTTCAAGGTGTCAAGTATAAACCGAAGACCCGCTTTGCGTCTGTTGCTGTCATTCTGGAAATTTTTACGGCTGTCTTAGTTTTTTTCAGTTCAGCATTTGCTAGAGAATAAGCTATAATATGTTTTGTAAAAAGAGCATAAAATATAGTTTAGGTGTCGGCCATTTATTTAAGTACTCGATAAAAAGTTGGCCAAAAGAAACGTTTAAGTGAATTCAATGTTACTTTACCCTCGCTTTTCATGTGATTCTCATAATTTTAGTTATGGGCTTATCTACGTTTAAGTTGGCGATGTAAACAAAATATATTGGTTTAGTCTGCCGTGCTGTCCGTGATTCTGTAAACTTTAAAAATAGACTCTAAAAGTTTGGGATATCGTTTGTACTCGCTACTGTAACCAAATAAAATAAATAGAAATATATCAATATATATATATATATATATATATATATATATATATATAAATAAAATAAAATAAATATATATATATATATATATATATATATATATATATATATATATATATATATATATATATATTGATATATTTCTATTTATTTTATTTGGTTACAGTAGCGAGTACAAACGATATATATATAATATATGTATACAAATCTTTCTTAAAAATTGACAACTAATTTACTATTAACCTTCCGTATGGATTGACTAGAAGTGTTCAATAGAATTTCCTTGGGACGTGGCAAATTAAAAATTTACAAATTTCCGTTATCGGAAAACATTGCATTTTCTCAGCATAAGACTCAAACTTCTACAAACTACAAAAAACTACAAAATTATTAACTTCTACGCATTTCTGTATCCCTAGCTCTGCTTCTTTCTTACGACGATTCTCACAGCTGAAAATGATTTGCCGGAAGATGTGTAGTTATATGCGAAGTTTGCAAAATATTTTATAGTTTTTTGTTTAATTTTGCCTACTTGAGTGTTATTACCACTACCAATCGATAGTGTAATCATTGAACATATTCGAATATCCATTCTCGTTTAATATATCATAAATTGTATCATTTTCATAGGTTGAAGTTGTGGGGTCAACAGGCGCGGAAGTTGTGTCCAAGTAACCCAGGTCAGAGGGCGTTGTCTGTATGGCATCAAATTTGCAGTATTGTAATTACTGAGAGAGAATTCAATGAAATACTTACGATCGGAACACCTTTATCCTGGAAGTGCACAATTATTTTATATCTCAACTTATTAATCATACTTCCGGCTTTTTTCATTGACAACTTAAGGATTATCTCAATAACTTTCAAAGCTTTCTCCTTTGCCAGCTGTACGACCTCGGTTTTCTTTACAGCTTTGGTTAGCAAATTAAGGACGTGATTCATTCGTAATATTGTCGTTGGTACTTGAAGATAACCGTCCACAACCCATTCTTTAACTAGCGGACTCCACTGAACCGAATCAACTTTTCCGTAAAGCCCTTCCCGTAACAATTCGATCATTTGCGTTTTGTTAATCTTGTCCTGGACTGCCAAAGAAGTTCCTGTTAAGAAAAACAGAAATTCCATTGTGCAGATTAAGTTTTTAGATATATATATATATATGTGTGTGTATATATAATAAGCACTAACCCAGGCCACATATGATTAAGATACTTGTTAAAAGTTTCATTATTCCCGACTTAAGATAAAATGCAACTGCTTATTAAATCTAACTACGTTTACGTATTAAATACAACCATAGCTGACTGTGTTAGGGTTTTAATAAACCATGCCGTAAGACTTGACCATATTCAATTGGTTCCCGATTGGTTTTATTGTGTTGCAAATATTTAAATTTACCAAAACCTGAACATATTAAAATAAAATCCTTAAATTAATTAAGCATTCATTGCATTAATTAGAACAACAAATGTCATTATATGTATTATTAATCAGCTATTTATTAACATTGGATTTTGGTATTATATTAAAATAGTTGTGAAATTATCATTAAAATCAGACGGATTTTTCGCCTGCATACGAGTAGTCTTCCTTCTCTTCGTAGTCCAGAGGCATTGTCTATGAAATTGAAATTGAAATTGAAATTAAAATATTTTTATATTGATTGATTTAGGGTTTTCTTACGGTCCTCGTATTCCTTCTCCTCATGTTTTCGCGATATACTGTCATAACTTTAGTATTCAAATAGACAACAAATTTTCGCATTGCAACTTTTGAATAGATCTTAAATTTTTCTCCTAATTTTTTCCATAGAGCTTGTTTCCATTTATTATAATCATTATATTCGTCCAACTCGTTGGCGACATCCATCAGCCATGTCAATGGCTTATGCCCAACCACTAGTCCGACATCAACCCAAGTTTTAACATGTGCATTCCATGGCACCATATCAACCATATTGTATACACGCCTCCGAAAATGGTTGCCCAAATCCAAATCAGCTTCCGATGCAGTTGTATTATATATTATATAGTTTTCAGTGCCCGTGGAGTTGGCTAAAAGCTCGAAGACAATGACTAGATATCATTAAAAACACACAGATTGCGCCCAGAACGTACCATATCCAAGGACGATTATTAGGATGCATGTTGATAGACTTTTAAGTTTCATTGTTAGCAAATGACTAAATGTAGCTATTCAGAACAGTGTGAAAGGTGGGTTCTATATAAATAATCGAAGCCAGTAAATGAACCAAAACAAATTTGATTTGACGTACTTGCGTCGTAGATTAGTATAGACCAAATGAAGTATGTTTTGAATATATTTTGAAGCTTTGTTTAGTTGAAGATATCTATTTTATATTCAGTTTTGTTGCTCTGTTTAGTTAATGCATAGTAAAACGTCTTAAATTTACAATTTTTTGCTTTTCCTAATTGTTATAATATGTAGAATTTTCAAATAAAATTCAGTTGCAAGATTATTTAATTGCAAGAGCAGTGGAGTAAGGCTATAATCGCACAATGTATTGATGATTCATATACTAAGGCTTTGATCGCAACTTGGTGAGAATAGGACGAATAACAAGGATGCAGTCATGCATGACAGTTCTGAAACGAAGACAGATTTGATTTAATCCAAGGTGTCGACCATATAATTTATAGGTCTATCATAATCTCATGCAATTTAACGATTTTCAATCAAAAATTCATCGAGAACTCTGCATGGAGTCGAAGAATATATATAGATATAAAGGATGTCAATCTCTGTTCTAGGTCAACAATGATTTAAAACAACTTCTGAGTTAATTAAAACAAAATTATTTTGTTGTAATGGATATATATTTAAAGAATGGACGTTAACTTTCAACGATGAAAATAATAATAATTACAATCATAATAATATAATAGTTTTAATTTAGACTTGAAAGACATCAATGCAAATAGTCTGAACTTGCATTAAGTCGTACAAAATGGATAAACTTCTTAATTTTTTTCTTTTTCTTTTCATATTATACAGAAAACATGTTGCTTTTGTAATATATAAATTTATGCTGTCATATGCCAGTTAATGATTGTATAATTCACATGAAGGGAAACCAATCCCACCATATATCAAAGTAGTCCTCGTTAGGTTCCTGAATGTCAGAACACTCTTGGCTATACAAGCTCAGTTTGTATGACTTTAATCCGTTCTCTTCATTCAGGGCAGACCTCAATTCTTTTCTTTGGTTGCTATAGAATTTTTTGCATTTCTCAGTTAGTGGTTTATGGATCAAATAGCTTTCGACGACTGCGATTCGGCTATGCAAATTACTCTCCAATTGGAGCCGCAAGTAATTATAGCTTAAAAATATACCATAGGCACGTATTTTTTGCTGCAGATAATCGGAACTCAGACTACGTATATGCCGCAGATGAGCCGCTTGTTGATCGTATTCAATGTTGCCAACTATATTGCCTATTCGAGAGACCTCTAAAATATGATCAATCTTTGAATTGATCTTTTCGTTTTCTGCCATTGCTGTTGGCATTGCTGTTGGCATTGCTGGTGGCATAGCTGCTTCTGCAGGTGGTGGTGAGTCTGGTGGTGGTGGTGGTGCGTCTGGTGGCGGTGGTGGTGCGCCTGGTGGTGGTGCGTCTGGTGGTGGCGCGTCTGGTGGTGGTGCGTCTACTGGCGATTGCATTGATTCGTCAGTCATCTCGGTATCAAGTCGCAAATTGATCTTCGACTCTCCAACGGCAACTGTAAAAAATGCAGTCTCATTATGTACTGTGTTTCCTTAGAGACTTTGAAGCCTTCGTGGCATGTTCCTTTAAGCCTTTCAATAACTTACGAACTGTGCTGAACAGCACACACAGCACGACAAAATGGAATAGTAGATTTCCCATGTTTTTGCAATGCTTTCAGTGTTGCAATTGATTTGTCAGAACTATTGGAAATCCCTCTTTTATACCTACAAATGGTGAGGCGGAAAAGATATTTCTGTTTAAGATAATACTTAATGAAATTGTCAAAGCAAAGCTGTTAGCGCTAACATAAATTTTATTTTTATTATTATTATAGTTTTAAATGTTTTAAGGCCAGTATTTCATCTCCTATTGATACGACATATTCGACTTCATGTTTACTGCTTTACTATTTAGCTGTATATAGTAGATCTGTCTAAATCTAATCTAATTTACTGCAACTTTTAAATATTTAAAATTTAAAATATTATTACAGCAATCTCTGTATTTCAGCTTCCAAATAGCATCTGCTGTTATTGATATAGTATATATAGTATATAGCTGTAAAGCCAATGGATATTGTGTCCAGCTACTCCTATAACTCCTAAAAGTATTACAAAACTATATCAACATTACAGTTTTCTTGCTTTAAAGATGCAAATCAATGTTCTTAAGAGATACCATTTTAATTTAGTATTTTTAATTTTTAAAAATTGAATTTTTAACGGGTTAAAGATTAGCTTCCACAAGTTGTGGAACGCAACAAACTCTGCAACAGCTGCGCTCAGGTGAGCATAGGTGAGAGATACTCGACTCTTTGGGAGGGAGAGCGCACGATCCACAACAATGACGATTACAATGACGAAGACTTCGACGACGACGACGACGACGATGTTGTTGTCGGTCGTTCGTCTTTCTGGGCTCAGCGTCTGGTCTTGCAGTTGGTTTTCCAAGTGGTCGAGTGTTTAGCTCAGTTCTTGAACGACTGCTGGCCGTGTTGGTAGCCAAACGCGGAACGCTGCTTGAATAACGTGAACACCGGAATCGTGTGTCGACTGTCGAGTGTCGCGAGTCGGAATCGGGAGTCGCATTCGGTGGCGGCAGACGACGCGTTTTGCTTTCAATAGACGTTACTTTGTTCGGCTTTATGGACATTTTGTGAAATGCAAAAACAACAAATAACAAAATCAAGCACAAAAATCAACAAAGTGAAATTTTGAATGCGTTTTGAAAATTAATTGGCAAAAACGGCATAAATGATAGCAAATTAAGCGGGTCTCCACATAAAGAAATCGCTTGAAAAAAGAAAAACAAGTTTGAAGCCGCAACAACAACAAATCATCGAAACTAATAATGCAATTGAAATCCATACAAAGTGCATAAAAAATTGTGTATGAAAAATTAAATAAGCAAATAGAAACAAATTGAAATCAAATCAAACAAGGCATTCAACAAGGCGCAAAAGTCTTCGAGAGGTGCGTAAAAAATTAATGAAAAAAATCATATTTTGAAAATTCGAAATAGAAATAGAAACAGCTGAGAAAATAGTAAGAAATTGATAAATGTAAATAGGAAATATCAATTTATCAGCTGACAAAATATAAGCAAAGAATTGTTAACTAGTTTGAAGAGCTGAAATTAAGTGAACTTTTGATTCTCTATTTCTTGTTGTTGTTGTTGTAGTTGAGTTGGTGTAATGCAAAGTTCTTATTTTTTTTGTTTTTTTGGTGGCTACAGAGCGCAAAAATAAATACGACTATATCTCTCTCGACCAGCTTATATACAGCCACATGAAAACTGTTAAAACCTGTTTTCAGCGGCGCATGCGCCAAGCAGAACTCGGGAACAGCAACAACAACAGCAAAACTGGCAAGAGAAGAAAAGTTGGTAGGGCTCTGGCCGCGTCGAATCTTTGAGCAAACTGTGAAGAAGCCGGCCCGAAAGACGTATAACACCTGAAAAGGAGGCGCAACAGAAGCTGCCTGTACTCGCAGCTCGATAAAGTCGATACCAATTTATCAAGTTCAATTCAATTCAAAATAAAACAAAATAAAACCGAAGAGTTTTGACTTCCTAGTCTAAGTCTAGCCGAAGGGCAAGGAACCAAACTGCACTTGTGCAAACAAACGCATCAGTCAAAAATTGTACTTCTACATTTACGTATGTGTTTCAAGGCCCCCAATAAGTATCTATATCTAGGCTCTATTTGCACAGCAGCCGACACTGAAACACTTCAATTTCAAAAAATTTTCTCTGTGCTTTGTTTCTGTATTATTATTTTAACTCTTTGTTGTTTTGTTGTTGATGTTATCTGAACTGGCGCAGCTTAAGATACAAGCGTGCGAGCAACAGCGCCAGATAAGCGAGATATGCGCACAGAACCGCAAAACAAAAATCAAAAAACTTATAAGATGCAAGAATTGTTAACTTTCACACAACGAATATCATATGCCCTTAGAGGCGTGGGACATAGGAGTTGTTCCTAAAATACTAGACAACAAAAAGTTGAATATAGAAATGCTATAGCTCAAAGATAGCCAAAGGTATATTAAATATTAGTTCTATGTAATGCTCAGATAATGATCAATTGTTGTTACAAAGGCTTAGTCTAGGTCATTCGATCCTACCATCGAGACATAGATATAATATTTTGATGTGAGCTTACTTATATTAAATTATATAACTGTCCAATGCTTGTCGACGTCAATGAAGCTATTCCTGACTCTCGTCCTCAGGACGGTCTCTGGCCTGGGGTTGTTTGCTAACAACATCATGACAACCTTTAGCGGTCCTGAGGCAGCTGTAAGATATTAATTCGTATATAACTAATTATATAGATATCAATTGAAAAGTATACAACTCACTATATAAACAACGCACTCGTTGGGCATGGCTATGACATTATGAATTCTGCTTTTGCTATTTAGCATGAATATAAATATTCTTAATGGAACCTTCTTGGATGTGTCACGCTTTTCCTTAGAAAATTTGGCTGCCTTTTGCAAAAGGGTATAAATCACACACAAAAAGAATCATTCGAACAGCTCAAAACAGCCGGCCAACACCTGCCGCTGCCAATGAAGGTACAACCCAGGGGAACACGGTCGGATCTCTCTCTCCCGCTCTGGCCTGGGACTCTTTCTGAAGGCGGCCTCTTTTGGGACTTATTCATTCATGCAATTCGTGTCCGTTTCATTTGCTGTGCTCCTCTTTGTCTTGCATGCAAATTTTTGCGTTTCATTTTCCTGCGCCGAGACTGTGAACATAAGACTAAACATATATGTGTATATATATTTCTGCATAGGTATATAAGTGTAGGTAGAATTACGTTGAGTGTGCATGAGAGACATACATAAACCAAAAAAGATATATATATATATATATATTTAAAACCATAAAAAAGCAGAAAAAAACCGCACAAAGCTCTTCGAACAATTCCTGAAAATGTCTGTTGTTTGCCGTGTTGCCCAGGGTCATGCCAAGTCACAAGCCAAGCCGAGCAACTTTCATTAAAGCCAAACCCACAATAGCACACCGGGGCATTATTATATACATACATACACAATATATGTATGTTTATATGTTTATGTGCTTAACCGTTTGTATATACACCACTGTCGATGTGTCGATCTGTATAGAGCCACAGCGTTCAATCAAATCCAATGCAAGAGCATGTCAAAGATCACAGCAACGGCCACAAACAATTTATGATTATAATTAAGTCCAGTTTCGGTTTGTTTTTGTTTTTTTTTTTTGCAGCCACAACCATTGGCCATTATGCAATTCACGAAGTTTCTTTTCGTGGTATCAAAATCGGTTATGAAATTGTTCTAACTTAGCCGCTCCCACTTAGTCAACAATTTGCTAAATTCTTGCAGCATAATCTAAGACGGCGTTTAGACTCAGTATATTTGAAGATCAAGAAAACGTAGCACATATGTAGAGCTATTATACAGACATTTTAATACATATATATGTTTATACATATATACAGCATATTTAGCATTATAGACTTATTTAAAATATAAATCTTATATTTCATTAAATAAAATCTTACATATCTTTGAATTGTGCATCCCAATAAAGTTTAGTACAAGCAAAAGCTTAGCTCCGGCTTATTGAAAGATTATTTGAGCCTGTTAGCATTCCTTGAGCTGCATTTAAATGTAAGAATCATTAAACAAATATTTAAATTGTTATATAAATATGACCGGATTCATTTCATTTTTATATATTAAAATATATATAAATAAAAATGTGCATACAAATTTTTAGAGCCTTTGTATTTTACTATTGGTTATATAAAAGAAATTTCCTTTAATTATATTAAATTGTTTATTAAACCAATTATTGAGCTAAGAGAAAATAATACTATTAATAAAATAAATATTTTTATTCTAACCAAATGATTATTATTGTGGCTATGCATATTTAAATGCTATGAAAATAACTCTTTTAAAGTGTTTTTTTAACTATTTTAAAATGTATGCATACAAGATTTGTTTTTGTTTTGTTGCCTTAACAACCAGAATAATTCTATGGCTGTCATAGAAACAAAAACAAATTACATTCTTTTTACCATTATTATATTCTAAAGAGAATGTTTTGATAAATAGCATTTGATTGAATTTATATATATATAATTTTATTTATTTGTCACTCAATTGGTGACTTTTGTTTATTTGTTGTCCTTGGCAGCGCCCGCATGATTTGTAACACGTAATTAACTGTCATTGGTTTGCAGTTTGGCTTTTGGCTTTTAGCCCATTTGGCTCATCGTCTAATTAATCATTTGTTCGAAATGCCAATTTGTTATTTTTATGAATTTATTTTTCAATTTGTTCAATTTTTTGTTGTTGCTTATTTGTGTGCTGCGTTTCTTTTCCGACAATTAAGCAACTTTTGTGCAATTGTGCTCGTGCGATATCAAAAACTTTAGCTGGCGCCTTACGTTTTGCTTACCCACGGCGAGGTTAAACTTTGACCTAGTTATTCAATTTGAGTTTGAGTTGCGACGCCGTCTGCCGGCAATTCATCATGTTGCAAATGTTATTCAAAAAATTAAAGTTGTGCAAATATTTGCATAGCCAGTCGAATGGCCAACCATTAAATCAAGTCTACTTCGCGGCGCCTCAACGCCCGTAGACACGCCTCCTCTCGAGATGCCAGCGCTAAAACTAAAAGTTTCTGATAATTGTTTTCATTTCATTTCATGTTGTGCTCTTCATTTTATTATTTTTTTATAGCAAGAACTTGACCAGACTTTTGGCTATAAATAGACAACACTTGCGCGGCAAAAGACAAACAATGCCAGTTATTAATATATTAGTTATTTAAACAATGCGCTGTGCGAAAAACAACCATAACGAAATTAATAATAGCACTGAAGAGTCATCGAGAGTCACTTAAAGCTGTCAACCACATACATAGCTGGCATGTGATGTAGGCGTATGTGGAACTAGAGATGGTACCTTGAGATCGATAACTATCGCAGTGTCTGAATAGTTTGCAAAGCTTTCGAGAAGCACAAATCACATAATCAAATCACAAATCAAATAAAGTCAAATTAGTTTAAAAATTGTTGTCTAACTTTTAGAGATGGTAGCGATAGCTATCGCATGGAGTTTATATATTGTTACACACACAAACTCTATTTGATTATAATATAGAGTTCGATAACTAACGCATTTAACTTGAAACAATAGCACTGTGAAAGAAGATGTACATATTCATAGTTAAACTGCAAGCTTTAACTATCATATGGAAGTATAAATTGTGCGATTATTAATAGAAATGGTAAGCTGCATGTCATAACTATCGCAGCAATAACTTATCTAAAGAAGGCCATTATATAACTAAGAACTGAGTTTGAACTCTGGTTTAAAGTACTCAAAGTTCTATCTTAAGAATATAAAGTATAAATATAAATAAAATAAAATATATTTAATATAATATAGTGTAAATTATTTAAATATTAATTACAATACTTCTTTCTGTCCGAGTATCAATCAAAAAGTCTAACCTTCTCTTTACTTAACCTTTATGAACAACTTCAATTTATGCGCACATTAAACTCATGTCGATAGAATTTCAACAGCTTTTCCCCTTTAACAACTCAGTTTCATGCATAAAGCTAGCTCCATATTAACAGCCCAATATCATTAATCATAGCATTGAGAACTCACCCATCACTGAAATGCCAGAAATTGGAGATTTATAGAATGGGTCTCACTCAAGCTGTGCTTTTTGCTGTCGTGTGGTTCGATCAGCGGGCGGGCGGCCCGGCATGCACTTGATAGTTCATTATACCAAATTGGGCTAACCTCATATGGGTGTTATGATTGTTTTATATATATGTATATATATGCACAGTACTCGTATATCGGAGCACGTATTACTGTCGTCCATTTGCGGAAACAGCTATCGACAATAAATGTATAACGTAATACAATTTCACGCTTGAGACCAGGGCCAA